GACCATTTGATCCAATTAGTGATCGAGAGTTGATTTTGAATACAAATATCAAAATTTATAAAGTTTTAGCTTATAAGCTTGGTATTAAGCCCAAAATGTACAAGATTGGTATTAGATTCTAGAGATGTTGCACGGAACTGATAGATACGTATTAATGGAGGCCAATGATCTATTGTATCCCGTGCATTAGCATTCTCTCACGTGCACTTGCCCAAACTACTTCTTGAAGTTATCAAATGGACTTCTAGCACATTTTGAATACTCGTTTTGCCCTCGAGCAATTTGATATGGCTCAAGGAGATAACTAAGATTCAAGATTGAATCATCTGCGTCTCCTCACAGTAACCCATGTAGGAGGGGTTGTGATCAATTAGAAATCGATGATCCTCACGCCTGTTGGGACGCTTGAGTTGTTTGGTGTTAAAGGCAATCCTCTTGGAGCATGAAGGCTTTGAGGGGGCTCTTGTGTACAATGAATACATGGGCTTCATGCATTGAGACTTGGGATTTATCTTTAGTGTCATATAATGACACCATACGGAAATCCACATCATAATGACTGAAGAAGACAGTGAAGATAAACCTAACAATTGTAATGTTTCCGTCTTATGCTCTCCAGAGTGGATAAGCCCAAAACGAAGCACCTTTGTCCATATGGACCATATGAGATGAATCTCGCTTATCTCTTAAGCTAACCAGAGAAACTTCTATTCTATAATTCTCTCTTCGGGAAAGGAGTAGATACTTAAAGAGGTCATGGGAGTTTCTAGAAAAAAAATGTCACATTGACAAAATTACAAGTTGTTTCACGGAGTGGGGGATGTACTATTTAATTCCCTCAAGGCTTGTAATATGCTGTGAAAGATTCACCAACTAAGTAGGGCTATTCGAGCCATTGAGCGCATTTTAAGCAAGTCGATAAATGATAACATAAGTTTGGTTAGGCTCGACATCAATCATGGTATGCTCGCATAAGATAAAGGAGATCCGATTGTGGAAATGCACGTTCATTTGCTGCGAGTGGAACTACTTATAATTAATTAGAGTGCATCCATCACGAGATGATGCAAGACTGAAATTAGTTAAGATTGATTGGGCTTGAGGAGGTGAATGATCAAGCTTCAAGCTCAATTCGAGTCGAAGTAGCTCCATTGTACTTATGAGTTTTGATTAAGATTGGATTATTGTGCCTAGGTTTAGGCTCATTTCAGATTACGTGCACCCACACAACTTTGGTTAGGCTCACTTGAATTTTTTTTTTTTTCTCACGTAAGTTTCTAATCTTTCAATCAGTATAATATCAATTAAATGCTAATAAATTCTAATCTAATATGAGGAAACTAAAATACATGTTATAATAGTGACATAGAAACCATACATAGAAAGTGAACCCCAGGAGACTTATTCAAACCATCTTTTTTGAAGGATGATAAATCTTTGAGAGTAAAAATACGTACATATATACGTATACATATACATATACGTATACATATACATATACATATAGATGAAACGCCTCTGTTAGTTATAATGATTTAAATATTTGTCCGCTTGCTCTTCGATACTAGAAATTTTAAGACCAAAATCATCAAATTGTTAAGCCAAATCACTAATGTTTCCAACAATAGAATGATCAAGAGAAGCTAATATACAAGGAGGATTCAGTTTAATCACCTTACATGCATATCAGTTTCCAGTCATATCTGTTGGACCATGAAATTCTAAGGAAGGCACTGACTCTATGACAAGATTTAGAGTTCATTCAAAATTTTACCCAGTGAGTAGTAGTTGGATTTGCAGCCACGACATTTAAAGGTAAGGTTCGATTAGTTGAATGCTCCCTAACATCCTACGTGCTGAGAAATTATTCCGTACGAAGATGCATGCGGTGTCCGATCTTCACCGTCAATCACCGTAATCTAAATTTTTTTAAAAAAAGAAAAAAAAAGAAAAAAGTTGAAAGTGGGGCCCACCAAAATTTCAGCGTGCAACAGGACAAAGGTTCAACTGGACAATGTTGCACGGCACCCTGGTCCAGTGGATCCAAAATTTAAAGGAATCAATTAAGTGGTATTAAAATAATCTCCATGATTATTTCAGTTTTAAATTTATAGAATTATAAAAATAATTTTCGATTATTTTTAAAATTATGAAAATTATTTCAATCCTAAATTAAAGAGTTAGAAATCATTTTGATGCATTTGTAAAGTTTAGAATTAAAATGCTCTCATATGAATACTATACACTTTACTCATAAGATTTTATAGGGTGAAATTCACGAGAAATTATTTCGTACGTACACCGCATGTAATGTTCGATCTCCACCGTCGATCACCACAAGCAAATTTAAAAAAAAAAAGTTGAAAGTGGGGTCCACCGAAATACATATTTGCGGTGATCGACGGTTAAGATCGGACACCGCATGCATCTCTGCATGGGGTGTCCGTATGGAATAATTTTTCCTACTTGCTAGGGATCAATGGCGGATGATTTCTACAGTTATAAATGATTATTGAAATAACTAGTGAAGTTGTTACAAGAAACTTTTTCAAGGAATAATATTTAGGAGACTCTTTAAGCGTCATCATTAAAAACCCATCAACATTTTATAATCTCCTTCGAAATGTCTTGAGTAACAAGTCTTGTCATATTTTGATAAGAGTATGAATAGAATCAAGAAGTCTAATGGAAAAATGTTCAATTAAATCTCAAACAGGACATGAATTTATAAACAATGTCAAGATTTCTGTGACAAATTTGCTAAAAATAGTGAAGAAGAAAGGAGTTGCAAATGTAGAAATATTTTCATTAGAAAAAAGAGGAGCATGTTTACATTACAAGATGGAGGGCGGCTTTTAATGAATATGAGAGGAACTTTTTTGAAAATATATAGAATCATGAAATATTGAAGATGGTTTAGAATCCTTCCCCCGAATAGTCTCCTTGAAAGAACAAGCAATATGAAAGGAGAAATTATAGCGAGCAAGATCTTAAGAGAAGGAACGAGGGAAGGGGATGCATCATAATACACAAACCTCGAAGGATAGGGTGTTAATGAGGAAGATAATCCAAACCAATATTATTCGGAGTAAAGTGGACTTAAAAATGCATTACATCGGACATTAAGAATAAGAAAAGCTAACTGCAATAGAGAGAAGCTTGATCGAAGTGGTAGGACTACTGGCCTAGACAACACAATTGGAATGCGAAAGAGTAGGCCATGAGCATAAAGGTAAAAAGATGTTGATTCCATGATGCATCAGAGAAATAAATATAACCACACGTAAGAGCCTATCTCTAGCAAGGTTTCAAATTTTTTTTAGCTCAATGCATGCGAGTGGGGCATGAGATGTTCATGCTTTGTGAGGGGAAGCAAGGGAAGTGGAATGTGAGGTCCCCATGACAACTTTTTTAGAAGTTAATAGAAGGGGGAAAAGCAAGATAACTTGGAGAAGTTTATGGGATCACCGAAGAGGTGTCGGTAGTATGGTGCTTCTCTCCTAGATCGCTAGTAAAATAATTTAGAAGGATCATAGATACTTGACTTATATATGAATGTATAGAGATTGAATGACGCAGGATAATAGGCATTTATCAAGTGAAATTATATTGTTGTTTGACGAGTAGGTGTCACTTAGGTACATTTTAATTTTTATATAAGTTAAAAAAAAGTATAACAGCGATTACTCTTGAGAAAATGAATGATTGTGCTTTTTGTTTGAACAATTTTTAGCCACTTTTAAATATAGTATAAAAAAGTACGAATTGTGTGCATGCTAGTTTTCGTATATCAATTTGTGAGGCTTTGTTAGAGAATTAAATGTTGCTCAGTATTTTAAGTTATCATCTCAACATTCATAAAACAATGTAAAATATTTATAAAATTTGATCATTTACTTTTTGTATGTGAAACATCAAATTTCCCTTTCAAACCTGGAACACTATTTATTAAGTTTGTGAGTGACTGCTCAAAAGACTTTTTAAAGAGAGTGTGATTCTTGTAGTTCTTTGGTTTTTTTTTGTTTTTTTTTTTTTTTTTTTCTTTATTTTAAAAACATGTTTATTTAGTTCATTTTTTTATATTTTTATTTTTTGTTTTAAAAATAACTAAGCATATTATAACATACGCAACATGTTTTATTTCATGTAAAAACATAAACAAAGCAAAATTACTTTTATTTATTTATTTATTTTTTATATTTTAACGTGAAATAAAACATGTTTGGTATATTATAACATGTTTAATTATTTAAAAAGAAATCAAAATAATTTTTAGATATTTTGAGTATTTTTAAATACAAGACAATTTATTTTTTTAAAGAAGAAATAAAAATATAAAAAAAATGCACTAAACAAGCATGTTTTTAAAATGAAAGCATAAACAAAAAATAAAAATAAAAATATAAATGATCCCAAACAAGCCCATAGCAATTCATTTTAAAAGTAGTTTGGTGCAGAATTTTGAACAACTCTATTGTTCTTTCTTTGATTGTTCCTTCTTCGCTAAACAGGCAAATCTTATTAAATTTTCTTTGGAATGCCTTGCCTGTCCTTGTTATCATATGCCAATTAGGAAGCAACCCTTGTGGAAGGACTCCATTTATTTGACATGAGGCCCAACAAGGGCATTGTTGGATTATCTTACACTACAACCTTTCTTATACATGCAAGTAAAAATTAATCTTATACATGTTTATATATCCAAGACAAATGATACTCAAGCTAATATTACTGGTTATTTTATTATATTACCTTGTAACTTCAGTTTTAGTATCATGATGGTCATTTTTATCCTTATTCTGACTATTCAACTTCATGAATCGAATGTCGATCTATTACTATTGAGTGCCAAATAGGCGTTAAATCTATTTTTATTAATTTTTTCACCCACTCATTTTTAGCTCTAAAAACTTTTAGATAAAATGACTACGCTTGAAAAACAAATAGTGATCCCCAATGTGAATGCTCGTCTTTATTTAATACCTATCATGATTTTGTAGGTGTTCTATCACGCCCTCTCAAAGGAGGAACAACTCGAGGCTCTAGAAGAGGAGAAGAAAATATTGGAGGAGAAGAAGAAACTGAAAGCTGCCGGTGTTATAGGGAGCACGGTGGACGTGTTGGGCGGCGCGGTGGGCGGAGCAGCATCCCTGGTGACCACGGGTGAACCCGCCGGTGCCGGCATCGTCGGTTCAGGCCTAGGTGCAGGTGCTGGTCTGGTTGGCTCTGGATTCCATGCCCTGAGCAAAGCAGGGAAATTCATGGGCAAGACGGTCTCTCACCAGTTCAGTACCTCCAAGAAAAACGGAAACGGTTCTCCTGTAATTCCAGCAGATGGAGCTGGAAGTTAAGCTGTAACTAATTCTTTTACATGTTTTGCCTTTTTTATGGGAAATTTACATACCTAAGTCACAATTCTTATGGATTTTACATATATATAACGCCAAAAGTTTGATACTTATATTTATAACATCTTGGTGCTACAAACCTATGCATAAAAAGGTGCAATTGTCTTTTTAAAAATTAGTAAAAGTGGTCTTTTTTATGTGATAATAGAGGCTCAAGAGCTATGAATGTAAATATTAAAGTTTAGGTATTAGATGTGTAAATTACATAAGAATTGTGTGGAATGTATGTAAATGGCCCCTTTTTTTATTTGTATCAGACGCCCAACTGTCAGAAGCATTTATAGCTAGCTGTGCGCTGCATATCCACACTGGTATGGCATATTTCTTCTCTTTATCATCTTGTGCATCAAAATGTGTTTTGATTGTTTTGTTAATGGCCTTCTTTTTATTCTGATTATATTTAACTTATATTTTAGGCTTATTTTATACAGCAACTTCCACTTTCATTTGTTTATTTGGTCAACTTGGGTTTCTTGAGTTTTATCTTGTTATAAAGATAAAAACAACATTTGGGGATTGTATTTTAATCAATTGCTGGCGTCACGTGAGGACATGTTATGTTGATTCAAAAGTGGATAAATATAAATTAAATGAGATATTAGCTAAATAAAAAGAGGCATTTACATAAATACCTCCCAATTTTTATGTATTTACACATCTAACTACTAAACTTTGTTTTTTGCATCTATGCTGGTCGTAATATCGCACGAGAATCAGTATTTAACATTTAAAAAGTGAATTATATCTTTGATGCATGGATAAGGTGGCATGTATGTAAAAATTGAAGTGTGGGTGTTACATGTGGAAATACGTGAGAATGGAGTGGTATGTATGTAAATATTTCAATAATTATAATAATAATAATAATCTTCCATGGCATTTTATTTATTGTAAATGTCATTAAAATACTCCTGGAGTGGAGCGTTTGGGGCGGCTATTGTCTTTCCAAGCAACAACTTTTAAGTTGTTCCTGGAGAACAACTTTTCAGCTGCTGCTAGAAAATTTTGTTGGAAAAATAAGAATATGTTTGGATAATTTATTGTGTTGCAGTTATTTCTGATGAAAAAAATTATTTTGTCCTCATGTGTATAATATATTTAAATAATTATAATTTTAAAAAATTATTTTGTCTTCATATATATAATATATTTGAATAATTATAATTTTAAAAATAATTATAGCTGAATAACAAAGACAGGCTTAGTTACATAAAAATATCTTAAGGGTTCAAAATTCTATAATATATAAAAAGTGACCTCTCATTTCATTTAAAATTCTCTAATATATAAAAAGTGATCTCTCATTTCATTTATATATTTACAATAACAAGGACCATCAAAATAATAAGTAAGCTTAAAATGATGTTTGTTTTCATATCTTGACGATCAAACATTCGGGATAATTTTTTTTTCACAACAGTATCTCTCCTCACATGATCATTATCCTGAGTGAACTCATTTGTGTCATTAGTCCAACATAAATACATGCAATCTTGAGGTGTCGTTTTTCAAGGGCAACAGTAAAATCTTCTTCTGTAGCTCTCTTCCCTTTTAGATTTATACTCAAAACATTGCATGCCACTGTGGCAGGATGGAACACTTTCACTTCCCGAAATCACTGATGATATTGAACTCATTTTTTCTCTGATTAAATATATTATGACTTCAATTGACATAAAAGAATAAATATGCAACAGAACCATTAAAAAAATTAAATAGTTTTACAATAAAAACAAGATGCAGAAATAGTGTTGGGACATTATTAAGTTTGATCTGGTTGATATTATACAAGATTTTTTCAAGGGGATTGATTTACCTAAGTATTTCAAGACTTTCAATCTTGTTTTGATCTCTAAGATTAGCAATGTTATATCTTGGGATAATTTTAGGTCAATTAGTCTAAATAGAGCGGTTTTTAAAATTATCTCTAAGATTAAAGTTAATAGAATTCAACCTTTACTTCATGAACTTATTAGTTTAAATCAAATTGCCTTTATAAAGGGGAGGAATATTTGTGATAATGTCCTAACTGTACAAGAATTGCTTTTAGATTTGGAAAATAAAGATAATGGGAGGAATATTATTTTAAAATGGATATCAAAAAAGCTTTTGATACCATTAGATGAGAGTTTATCCTTGATGCTCTTGATGCAATTGGCTTTCAAGTTAGTGTTTGAAGTATAATTAGTAGAATTCTTAATAGCAACTTTTATTCTATTTTAATCAACAGTAAAGCTTATGGTTATTTTAAAGCTTTTAGAGATATTAAGCAAGGTGATCCTTTATCATCTTATATTTTTATTATTGTTTTTTACTACTTATATAAATGTATTAATAATTTATTTCATAATAACCCTAGCATGTATTATTTTCATAGAGATAGAGTAGGTAATTAGCATTTATGTTTTGCTGGTGATTTAAACATTTTTACTAATGCAAATAAAAGGTCCATAAAAAAGGTTTGGAATGAAATTAGTCAGTTTCAAGATGTATCGGGTATGTTTTTAAATACTTCTAAATGTACTTCTATTGCTCTAAACATGTTTTTGTTGTTAAAAAGAATTGGATTGTGGACTACACTAAATGAAATAAAATTAATTTGCCTATTAATTAAATAGGATTTACCTTAGATAAGAAAAGCAGAAGGAATGCTCTTTTCTCCGGTTTATTTGATAAAGTTAAGAATATAATTCTTGCTTGGGAGAATAATTTTCTTTCTTTTAGAGGAAAAATTACTATTCTTAAGAGTATTTTAACTTCTCTTCCTTTGTATGTGATGCAAATTATGAACATGCCTTTGAGTTTTATTAATAAATTGGAGAATTTATTTAATAAATTTCTATGGGATGGTAATGGTAAGCAAAGTATACATTGGAAAAGTTCAAATAAGATTTGTAAACCATTTGATAAATAAAGGTGGTCTTGGCTTCAGGAAAATTGTTGATATAATACATATAAATCATATGAAGTTATGGTTTAGATTTAGACAACAAAATTCCATTTGGGCTTCTCTTATACATGCTAAATATTGCAATGATTTGCATCCCCTTGCAGTTAATAATTCTAAGTTTGATTCTTCTATTTGGGAAAGCATGTTGAAAATTTCTAGATTAACCGACAATCTTATTACTTGGGATATTGGTAATGGTAAGGTTTCTTTCTGGTATGATGATTGGCTTGGAAATGGTAATCTTGTAGACTGGTATGGTGGCCCTCAAGATATTAAGATTATGGTCAAAGATTTTTGGCATGATAATGGATGGAATATTGATAAGTTAAGGGTTTTGCTTAAATATGAGGATGTGAAATTTATATCCAATATTCCTTATATTCCTTTCAATAATCTTTCAATAATGGGAATGTTGATATTCCTAAGATTAAAAGTAATATTGGGGATACTATTGCTAACACTTTTCAATTCTTTCAGGGCATAAATTTCAAGTGGATATGGAACACTTGGGTAAAACCTTCACATTCCTTTTCTATATGGATGTTGTTTTAAAATATTTTACCAATTGATGATATTCTTAAGCTTAAAGGGTTTATAATCACTTATGTTTGTTTAATGTGTAGAAAGAACTTAAAGGGCTTATAATCACTAAATCTAAATTTTACAAAATTAATTTGAATCTATTAATCATATTTTTATAAATTTTGGTTTTGCATCAAATTTGGAGGAAAATTTCGGATCTATTTGGTAAAAGATGGAATGTTGATTCTTATATGAGCATTGGTGACATTTATGAAGTCTGGAATAATTCTGGACACTCTTTTTTGTCTAATGTTTCATCAGTTGTTCTTTGGTTTATCTGGTATACTAGAAACAAAACTAAATTTCATAATGAATCTCCTAATGTTAATCATACTTTTGGTATGATTAATAATTACTTATCTAATAGTTTACTAATAATGGTATGAAAGGGTATAATAGCCATAATCTATATGAGGTCTTTGTTAAATTTAAGATTTTGCATGAACTAGTGATTAATAGAAACCTCTCGGTTTATTGGTGTAAGTTGTATGCCTTCTATGTTAAAATTAATGTTTATGGTAGCTGGAAAGTTAATAACGCTGGTGCTGGAGGAGTGTACAGGGATTTCTTGGGATCAGTTATCTGTTGGTTTGCTTCATCGGTTGTTCCCATCTTGGCTTTAGTTGTTGAGGCTGATGTTGTTGTTTTTGTTCTTATGTTAGGCAAAAAATATGGTTGGAAACATTTGACTATAGAAAATGATTCTTTTTTATTGTGGAAGTTTTGCAGGTTAAAAGATGAGCATCATTGGAGTATTAACATTCAAATGAAGAAGATAGAGGATCTAACCAAAGACATAAGCATTTGTTGGACTCATACTAGAAGGGAAGGAAACATAAAAGCTGATTGGGCGGCCAAGTTGGGTTGCTCTCTTAATTATGTTGTTGTATCAAAGCAAGTTCATTTGGTCTTTATGGAGCTAGTGATTGTTGATTTACTTTAGTTTTTTAGTTGTTTTATTTCTTTTTTCTTTTCTTTGCGGTTCTTAGGCGGGGTGAGTTGTACGAGGTGTGTAGTAGGTTCCTCTTCCCTCTCTTTTTTCTATATTTTTTTTGTTTTTTTTGGAATATAAATCCCTTACGAGTTATAAAAAATACATATTATAGAATATAACTAGATCATTGAATTGATATATAAAGAAAAAATGATAATTCTGGGTTTTGTGACAATAATATTCATGCATGAATATTTTGAATTGAAGTTTTACATAAACTTTATTTCAAACGATCATTGAAGTTATTTGCATGATATTTATATGATAATAAACCTCACGAATCTTTAAAAATGAAGATTTGTGTCCTAAAATGATCCCGAGAGAGAAAAAAAAATTAGGCTTTTAGTAATTAAGACCGTTTTTTGGGTTATCTATGAGTTAGTTAAAACTAATTGTGTTTGAAGAATTTTATATTATCTGTGATTTTTATTAAATTTTAATTTTCTAAAATTTAGATTTAGTCAAGATTAAGCTCAAGTGAAATCCAATTGAGTTTGAGAAAGGAAAATAGAGTT